AAACAATTGCAAAACAATTAATTGCAATTTTTATAATAAAAATATCAAAAAGGTATTGTATTAAAATTTATATTAAAATTAATATAAATACATACATGTAGAGCCTATTGTTTAATTTGTTGGTGAACGTCCTGAATTGACCTTATTTTACTATTTACTCTTAGCAATAAAAATTTTTTTTCTAATGTATACAGGTCAAGAGACTTTCTCCAGTCCATGTAGTAATACTTTACATGAAACTTTTGCGCTCATTGTAATTTAAAATAATACTATTATGTTTTTTTTTAAAAAAAAAAAGCACAATTGCTTAATTTCTTTATATGATTTTTTTTTTCTTAATCGTATAAGCTTTTTTTTTTATTTATTTAATCATAAAAGCTTTTTTTATTTATCTCATCATAGAAGCTTTTTTTTTATTTATCTAATCGTATAAGGCTTTTTTTTTCTTTATTAAAATCATATATAATAACCTTTTTTTGCCAACATCAAAATCAGCAAGTTATCATATTTACAAACTGCAGTGTATAGAGAATCGGCTATATAACGCAAAATTGCAATTAATTGTTTAATTGTGGCTGCACCACCAATCAATTAATTGAGATTAAATAATTGCAATTAATTGCTTTCACAATTAATTATTCAGTAGGCCTAGTTTGAATAGATAGTTTAGTTAGATATTGGTTTAGAATTAGCTATACCAACCTTTTCAATGCACAAACACGTTTTATGGAATAGCATGGTAAAAATGGCACAGATATTGCAGCAAAGAGTAGCACATTGTATCACATCATATGGAACAACACATTCAGATAACATGTATGTAAACATAATGCATGTGTTGGCTCATTTTGTGAAGAGTGAAAGATCAATAAATAATTTTTTTTTAAAAAAGTGCAATATCATAATTTCACTGATAAAGCTGCTCTGAGTATCTTAACAAAAAAAGATTCTTACAAAATTTTACTTCACATGTAGTTAGTTTGTTCATATTATATTGATTACTAATATAAATTTTATGTTTTAACATGTTTGTTATTTGTTATTGCAATGGCATATGAATTTACCTGTGACAAATTCCATGCCAATTTGACTAGTAAACTGCTGCAAAATCCATATCATTCATGGTCCAATTGGCACAGGCATATGGTTTTACATGGGCCACTGAATCTGTATCAACTCAGACTATACCTGTACAAATCCAGATCCTAACCCATAAAATTTTAAATCTAAAATTTCACAAAAAATCTAAAATTCCAAGTATTAACTCAAATTTTCTAAAATTTTTAAATTCTAAAGAATTTATATCTAAAATTATCAATTTTAACCAAAATTTTCTAAAAATTTTCTTCTTATATTATAGTTTGTAGTATATAGGAATGAGATGCTGCACAGGTAAAACATTTTGAAATTTCGGAATATTTCTGAATTTCACAACTCTGGCCTGTATTAGTAGTAAACTATAATGTAGACTACAGTAGATTCAAAAAATATTTGATTTTTTTATCCCTAGTGATATGTATTTTATTTTTAATAAAAATTTTATACAAACTTAACTTTTTTAACTTCTAAGGTGTACAGTATATAATTAGTTTGTATTGGATATTAATGCCATGATCTAGAGATATAAATTTATATAACTTAGTTTCTAATTTTATATTTAATTTTTAAGACATACAGTATATGATTAGTTTGTATTAGATATTGATGCCATGATCTAGAGACATAAATTTATATGACTTAGTTCCTAATTTTATATTTAATAACAATCAGCAAAATTTAAATACTAAATTATTATTTTAACAAAATAAAAGAATAAACTATAAAACTTTTCTAAATTTAATCAAAATTTATCTAAAATTTATTAAAATTTATCAAAATTTATCTAAAATTTACTAAATTTAAGCTAAAATTTGCCTAAATTTTTTATTGTTATCAGAAAAAATTTTGAATTTTTAAAACTAAAATTTTACGGGTCCCTGGTTGGCACGTTGAATTGGTCCGAATTGGACTGTTTACCCGGACATTTTGGACCGTAAATGGACCGGGTATTGCTGTACTTTACTAAGCCAAAATTAACGGGTTTTGGCACGGGTTGAGGCACACGTAAGTTCACGTGCATATATTTCTTACGAGTTATGAGCAAGAGTAAATTCGATTTAGTTAGAGCATTATATAATTGTGAAGGGGTGGTAACAAACATGCCTATAGTAAATTTTGCAAGGAATTTTTTTTGTTAGGAATTAAAGAGCTTTTTCATAGACGAGATTTTGAGATACAGACGATTTTTTAAAAAAAGTCGTTTGTTTTGAATTTTCAAGTTACACTGATCCTGCGATTTTATTGGCCATGCGAGATTGGGGTGATAAAATGGAATTTGATATATTGTAAATTTTTATGTTACACGGATATTGATTTTCGATAATAGATTAAAACTGATATTTTATGACGTTATTATTAAGCCAGTCTTCTAAATGCTTCAAGCACTATTGAGACATGCAATTACCTTTAAACTTTCACAGGTTGTTTATAAAGCATCTAAAAACAAGGCCATGTTATTTAAATTCTCTATTAAAATGTAAGTTTGGTTTTCGTCTTGCAGAATGTTCTAAACTTTCGTCGATTTGAACAAAAAAGCTTTATCTTAAGCATGCAAGTCAAAATTTAATTAAAATTTTGCAAAAAAAACAACATAGCTGCATTGAGATAGTTCTGGCACAGTGTCTTTAATCGAAAGAAATTAGATAAATAAGTACACTATTCGTTTGAAAACTTTAGAATTTCGCACTTTTCTTTATAATTAAAAGGCTTAAAAACGTTTGATCGATCATTTTTTAATTTTGCTGATAAAAATCTGATCATAATAAAATGTTCAATATAGCTGACATAGTTTTGATTACTTAGTTGATTTATCACCCTAATACGAGATGCACGTACCATTTAATACGACTAACGAGCCTATATGCACGTGCCAATACCGTAAAACGTAATATACGTGCCATTCTGTCACGTTTTGGATCGTGTTTCCTGCCTTTACGTGACACGTACCTATCCAGACAACTCCATGCCAACACGTACCAACACCCGGGTCACTTTTCTCATGGGCCGGACCAAATATCACTACACCTCGATCGTCGTCTTCCAATTATGGAGTTTTGGTCTTGTTTTTTTTGTTAGATTTGTAGTGTTTGTTGAGATAGATTAGATTATTTAGTCGTTCACAACGACCTTATTCAAAATAATACCCATCGAGGTTGTACTTTGAAATCAAAGTTTTGTAAATTTCGAACAACTTGTGCTACAACGGAGTTCTAGAATGACACTATTTGATGGAATTCAAATTCCACTTAATAAGCAAATTTAAAAAATTATTCAAAATTTAAGGCCACACGAAGTTTTCATGACATGGATTCTAAAATTTTGGTCAGGATGATTTTTCTTAATTTATTGTAAAGTAATAGACTAGTTTACATTCAAGACCACGCAAAGTTAATTTTTCACTTTGCACAACGTAGAATCTTGGTGGATTTTTTTTCTATCAGAACTATCGGATATTTACGTCTATATCGGGTGATGACGGATAAATTGTGGGGAAAAAATAAATAAATAACTTAAAAAAATAGAAATTTTTTGAGAAAATAGATCGGCGGATAATGCAACCCGAAAAATTAACCTTCTATGGAGTGTGCGACATTTTTAGGACATACATTAAAAAAAATGCTATGCACACTATCTTAACGCCAAATCGTTATATAAGGCAGTAGGTAATTATAATATGTGCAATGCATCCGACAATGGATTATATCATTAATAATTTGAAATTCATAACTTTTATGCTTTATTTTCACCAATCGGGTGAATATATATATTTTTAATCCAACTTTGAACTTGAAGAAAATTTAAGCATATGCAAGTACTTAATATTACATGTGGGACTGAATTGCATATATGATTTTCCTGCTTCAATGGGAAACGTTAAAGATAGGTTATTGATCCACATACTGCATAAGTTATATTCTTGATGTTCATCTATTACGTAATCCTAATTATATCAAAAAAGTAACACGAACTGCATCAAAAAGTAACGATTTAACGGATCACCTTTAATGCAATAATGATTTTAATGTATATACTTACATACAAGACAAATTCGATAGACGATATCTCTTTATTAAGTTTTTAATTATATTAAATTTTAATTTTTAAGCCAAGATTATATTTTTAGTAATTATAAAACTTGGAAAACATCATTCTATGCTTAGAAACTTCGACCTGTAGTATATAGATATCACCACTAAAGAAAATTTATCATTTATGCTTCAAATTTACATATCGGAGAGCAATAATTGAACTCCGGTGGCATTTTTTTCCTCGGAAATAGTTTTCCCATATGGTGTATTAATTTCATTGACTAAAAATCAAAATGCATGTATGCATTATTATGGTGAGTTAAATTTTTTAATGCAATTTTATGTGGGGGTAATAATATAATAATTTAAGGGGTGTGTACAAACAAATAGTCATTTGTTTTACTTTTCGCGTGCCATTGACATTTTTAGTATTTCTATACCAATTGTTCATTCGTAGCGAAGCGCCAAAATTTACAGAAGTTTATCCAAGTGCAACCTCTCTAAATGCATTTTGCCAAAAGACTGGTTCTTACATGTTGCACTTAAAGGTTTACTATATCTTGGCGTTAATGATGCAAGATTTAATTAAATTTTGTCAACACATGCAAGATTGATTAAATCTTCCTAATTCAGCTATTTACAAAGAAACCTCTTTAACGATAATCAATGTAAAATATATTTCATAACTAACATTATTCCAAAATTTTTCTATATAAGTGGGCCTTTGGAACTTGACCAGTTCTGTACGAATTGTTCGTTTCTAAAAAACTTTTCGTATACTGTCAAAAACAAATAATATTTGCCTAAGATCAAATCGATAATAGAAAAAAAAAACTTTTTTATAAACAAAGTTCATTAAAAGATTATTTAACCATGAAGTTCAACATTGCAACCGTATCTTTAATTCTCCTCGCTGCCAGCTCTTTGGCTGTTCCAACTCCAAATGACGCTAAGGATTTAGGTAAATGCTTTTTTTACATATTCAATTACTTATATTTTATGGTTAATAACTTATTTATTAATATAATATTCATTCTATTGTTTGATAGATTTGGCTCTTGAAAAGCGTTCTTCTGGTAAATACTACGAAGAAGGAAAAGCAAAAGAAGACAACACCAAAGCGAAAAAGGTTACTGATAAACAGAAAGCAAATGAAAAGACCAAGAAAAATGTTGAAAAGAATCATAAACACGTAAACTCGAAAGAGAACCAAGC